CTTCTGCTCCTGCTCCATGAAGGAGCAAAATCAGTTTTGAGAATTAGATCCAAACACCCCCCTAAATAACAAGCAAATCAAACTTGGGTTGAAATTATGTGGGTGTAATGATAATTGATATGTCTTGCTATTTGGCATCTGAAAATTGATTCTTGGAAGGTATATTATTCAGATTAGGAACATGGTTTATCTTCAAATTCAATTTAAAGAAGGGGGTTGTCTAAAATTTCAAATTGACCCCCACTAGTGTTTTGTTTGTATCAAGATTTTTCTAGTCCCCATTCAAATTGCAAAGATTTTGCAAGGCGTGTGATAATTGTACAAAAAATCATAAAACTCTTTCTGCCCATTTTAATGATGCGGGGTGCAGGATGATAACTTCATTATTCAAATCGAATGAAGCAGCAAAATTGAATTCATCATCCTACTTACCTTGTGGAACTTGGGCGAAGGGTTTCGACGTTTCAAAGTATGAGGACTTGCGTAACAGAGGCGTTGGTTGGATTTAACGATAACAGAATTTGTCCTAAATAGGACCAATGAGTTCCCAAAAAGCTCAAATAAGACTACTACTTTTTAAATTCTCTCAACATGACTAAACATTGATTTTCTATCCCAAATACACCTAAGGGTATTAATTTTCAAAATGAAATGCTTTTATTCATAATAAAATCATACCAAATACGTAAAAAAATATTTACAAATCGTAAAACAAATTATAAAAAATTAATAAAATATTTATAAAATAAAAAATTCAGAAAAGTTTTTTGAATTTTTTTTTAAAAAATAAAAAACTGAAAAAACCCATAAAAAATTAAAAAATTATGGATACATTTCTCACCGCCTCCCGCCGCCTCCCAGCACCACCACCACCGATTGGTGAAATTTCTTCCACTTTTGGTAAAAATGTCATCTTTTTCTGAAAATGACAAAAGGATAGCATAATTACTCTTCAATATGCCAACATTTTCATTGAATATGCCATCGTTATGGCATTATTTAAAATGTTGGCAGATTTTTCTCCGGTGATGGGAGTTGGTGGTGCTGGGGTTGACAGGGGTCACACTGTTTTTTTTTTTTTTTAATTTTACGTTTTTTATTATATTTTTATGATTTTATTATTGATTAAAACATTTCAAAAGCGACAAGGGTATATTTTTCCAAGCACACATAAATAGTCCTATTAAGGGAATTTAAACAATGTAGTCCTATTTGTGCAATTTTGGCACTTTTTAGTCATATTTGGTGAATTGACTCTAACGATAATGTGTATAACAATGGTTGTGTCGTTATAATAAGGGTAGTTCAAATATTTAATTTAATTTAATTAATTAATGTTTAATTCAGTGGCTGCACATATTATTGCCCATTTATTATTTTTCTAACAGGTGTATATGTATAAAAATCAGGCCTACCCTCAAATTTTAAAAGGGAAGTTCTATATGCAGCCCCCGAATTACTAAATGAAGCCTCCAAAATATTCTAAATAACTAATTTACCCTTTTAATAATACAATCGCTCATACGAGTTTCACTGCTGAATGTTGTGGAAGGTACATCACAGAGATGTCGGACAAAATACCTCCACCATATCAGGCCACATACATACCATTCAATGAAAGAAAAAAATGAGATTCCCTATAAGGGCTTCTTGGTCTTCTCCCAAGTCGTAGATCAGAGGTCTTCTCTATTAGTGAGGCGGAGAGTTGGAAATACTGATCTTTGAAGATGATGAGGTGTCAAGACGGTTGGGAACCAACGAGGTGTCAAACAGGATGTCCCCGATGGAACGAAGACGAACCGTGTAGCTGAATGGGGTGTTGTTAGTGTTCTGAAAAATGAATTCTTGGTCCTAGGAATTGAAATCGAATGTCCACTCAGTGGGAGAAAGGTCTCACCCGCCGACGATTGTGGGCGAGAGAAGAATGTCTTATGATACTATTTGGAAGTTGATTTTGATAAATTTATTTTTCAAAGAAGGGTTCATGCTTCGGAAGATTATGCTTCATCTAATTTTGTAAATCTGAATCTCATCTCCAATCCGATCAACAACTTGGATGAATGAGTGGAAGTAGACTCTGCATATGAATGATTTAAGTGGGACGGTAATATTATACGAGTAACTTATAAGTATCTAAAAATGTTGTGGCCGCCGGTATTTAGTGATGGCTGCATAAAGTACATACTCCCTCCGTCCACTTTTATTTAGCCAAGCACATTTTTCCAAGTCAAAGTTGTTCAAGTTTGACCAATCATATATTTATACATGGTAATATTGATAATGTGAAAATTATATGAAAATGTTCTTTGTTAAAAATACTATCATAAAAGTATAAATTTATTAAGTTTTACATAAATATATTAGTTAAAATAATGGATCAAAATTTATCACCTTTGACTGGAAAAGTCAAAAATGGCTAAATAAAAAGGGACATGGGTGCATTAAGTAAAATATCGTTAGAGTCAATTCCCCATATATAAATAATGTTTTGTTCGATCGCAAAAGGTGGTAAAAGGTTAAATTAGGAATATTTAATAATTGTGGCTGTATTAAGCCTAGTTAGCTTTTTTCCATTTTAAACGCGTTTTAAACACGTACCGTTTTTTTGAGTAAAAAAACACGTTTAAAACGAAAAATAATGTCGGTCCGTTTAAAAAGGAAAAAAACTCCTGCTTCACGTATAAAACGTATTTTTCCCGTATTTTACAAAAAACAGATACATGAATTGATCAATTAAACGAATGCATCAAATGCATAGGAGATCAACAATAGTTTAAAAGTAGAAATGAAAACGCCCTCCTCGTGATCCCGTGTTTTTGTATTGTTACAATACAATTATTAATTGTATGATGGTTAAAGCTAGCATCCTAAAGACTAAAACTTAAAATACTACTCCCTCCGTCCCTAATAGTTCTTTCATAGTACAAATGACACACATATTAAGAAAGTGAGTATTATGTTGTGGAGAGTTGTGCAAAAGATAAAGAAATGTGTAAGAAATGTTGTGAATCACTAATTCATTACCAAAAAGGAAAGTCGAAGTTCTTTTGATATGAATGAAAAAGGAAAGTTGAAAGTTCTTTCAGGGACGGAGGGATTACAAGATTTCTGATGTTTTTTCAAACAAACTTATCAAAATTAAGGTTTTTCTAAACTGGACATTTTTTAGTATAAACTTTTACACAAACAATAATAAGCGTAGCAATTGCACAACTTTTCTCATATGTCATCCGTCATCTTGATGAAAATTATGAGTTTAACTTGAGTGTTATTTGATGATAATAGAATGATAATGATTTTAACATAGTCTCATTCTATTGTTATTATGCCTTATTTTTTTGACGTCATTTTGCAAAATTATGTCTTGGACTTGCACCAAGAGGCTCTCCCGTAGAATTACGAATTATTTTTAGGTAGCAATGGAATTTGCCTCCTTGTCCTGGAGGCTCTCCGGTAGAATTACGAATTATTTTTATGTAGTGATGGAATTTGCTACATGAATATGTGTGTACTTTTATTTCTTTTTACTATATATGTTGTTTTGTATAAAGTATATACTTTAAATGTTCAAAATAATGCCCCGTATTTTTTGTCCGAATTTTTGTAACCGATAACGTATTATACACGTATACGTATTTACACGTTTTATAAAAGTCAACGTTTTTTTCAACGAATTTTTGACCGTTTTTTTCATTTATGTTACCGAATAAAACGCGAACGTATTAAAGCTCGTTTAATTCCCGTACCGTATTTAAGAATGTCAATATAGAGCAGCCAAGCCCACAATTAGACCATGGCCCAAAATCTCAAAATCCCAAATCCAACTCCAAGAATGCAGGCAACCCATCGGCGTCGATCGTCAATCTCTGCCTCGCTGGTCGGCCGTCGAACGGACTGTCCACGTCGGAGCGGCGGAACTGGGAATCTGGCTTTCTGCAACCCTTCTGGCTTTCTAATTCTGCTCTTCGCTGGTAAACTGGGAATCTGCAGCTGCGAAGCTACCAACGGGTAAGTTAATTAAGTTTTTTAATTTTAACAGTCTTGTTTAGTTTTACAGCCTTGTTTAATTTTAAGTTTTAGTTTTATTGTGCTTTTAATTATATTTAAAGATTAAATTACAGCCTTGCTTAGTATGAATTTGATTGTTAATTATAAAGTTGTAATCATCATTTATAGTAGTATGAATTTACTTGTGATTTGAAATTATTAATCTTATTATTATTATTAAGTTAATTAGTATTAGTGTAGTAACTCGTCTTATTTTCAATAAAGGTAACGAAGAGATACTATAAAGTATTAAAGTCTATAATCCTTTTGAAGTAGGAGCTAAGGAAGGTAGCTCATCCAGATTTGTAGTGCCCCCAACTACAATCCAAGAAATCTCAACAACAAATGACGAACAAAGAAACATAAATAATCGACAATCATACCCTGTTGAAAAGTTTGATTCTTCCTAACTTCCATCTGATCCTGGATTGAGAATACTGATCTCAAGGTAGACTTATTATTAATGTAGAAAAAGACATATTCTTGAAAGTTGGCAATGATGTCATTATCAAACGTATCAATCGATGACAACCCGTAGAGAACAGTTGTAAAATTGTTGTTTTTTTGTATTTGACTTCAATGAAAACTTTATTCCTATTATGTTTATTTTTGTCTTTGATTTTGTTATTACAATAGATGTTTTTTTTCATTATTTTTTGGCTTGAGGATATGATGGAATAGAGCAAAATGACTCACTAAACTGTCTGCGCTTCTTTGTTATGAAGCACCCACACAGTCAGTCCATTCAATTTTGGACGCGATTTTCACTATGGATCATCCGGAAACAGCCTCTCTGTGCTTTAGTACAGGGGTAAGACTACATACATCTGACCCCCCTTACCTCACCATAGGTGGGAGCCTTTGCGGCACTGGGGTAAATGAAAATGAAATGAAATAGATGTTTTTTTCAATGTACGTTATTTAATTAAATCCCCCCCTCTCCCCGAAAATGTCAAAGTCAGATCTGCCCCTGATCTCAAGTTGTGAAGTTCAAACATTCAAACACAGCTTTACCATTTTCCTTTCTGATCTCTGAAATTGATGCCTCACAGGTTGTTTTGGAAACCTCAAGTTCACATCAATTTGGGGTTTAGGGTTTTGAAAAAAAAAACGGAAGCAAAGAGATCCAGCAATGTCAAGAAGAAATTTATTGTTGTTCCTGAAACGCAGTCCGTAAGAAATTCATTATTTTCTTGAAGGATCGGTTCTTTAATTCTTGTGATGGTTATCCAACTCTTATTGATTGTGTTTTAATATTCAACTTTTAGTTCAACAAAAAGCGAGGTAGATGGAAGCAATGCAAAAACGTGGGGACAGAGGGCGGTAATGGGGACATTGATTTGCCTGACAGGAGGTGTTGCTCTCAGTGCACTTGATGATCTCTCAATATACCACAGTTGCAGCAGGTGATAGATTTAGAGTCTGTTTGGTAACTCTGAAATTGGTTGAATGGACTGAATTATGAAAAAATTATACTACCTTTGTCCCGGTAGACTTTGCCAAGTGCAAAGTAGGTGAGAAATAAGAACAGTAAAAACTGTGTGGTTGAGATTTGTGCAGAGGAGAGAGAAATGTGCAGAACCACAAATTAATTGCTTCATAGTTGTCATGGTGCATGGCGATCGCCATGGCTCAAAGGCATTTTTCATGGCGCATGGCGATGACGCATATACGAACGGCGCATATAGCGCATATGGCTCTATGGCGTTGACCACTTTTTCATGGCGATGGCGCATATGGCGCACGCCATATCTAGCCATTGACTACTATGAATTGCTTTAATAGGAAAGTGGCAAAATTTTTAGGGACAACCAAAAGGAGAGAGTTGGCAAAGTCCAATGGGACGGAGGGAGTATTAAAAATATATTTTATTAATAAATAAAGAAAAATTATATGACAATAGTTAAAATTTCAGTCAATTCAGTCAGAAAAGTAACTTTAACTAGGACTATGACACTATTCGAACTGTGAAAGCAAAAGTTACGTGTTTGGTAAAAAAAGAAGCGTAATAAGGCTATATGTTGCTCTTAGTTGATATTCACATGACTCTGTAATGATCATCTTGTCAATTGAAGTCCTAATGAGTACGACAGATAAGTTTAATGTTTATGTCTTTATGAGCGTTCAGAGATCTGTGGTATCTAAACAAGAATCATTTTGTGGAATTTGAGCACTGCAGAGTCACACAACAATGTTATGGGTCTAAAGCTTGAGAAATGTAAAGCTTCACATATTTACAAAGATAGTATTAATATGTATGTCTACTACATGGTGACATCTTTGTAACTGTCGTCAATTAATTGCTAAAAACCTCTGATTGAGTTTCTTATAATTACAAAAGCTGCACCTTATGGATGTAGACATTGATTAGAAAATGAAATGTGGACTATAAAATTTCTCATACCCTAAATACACACACTACATACATATACACTAAAAACTTCATTGGGGAAGTGCAAGGGCCCTCTGCAACCCGGCACTGAATATTAGTGTCCCTCCCACAATTTTCTTCTTCCAATCTCACTTCATTATTTATTTATTATTATTAAGCTTTTTTCAAAAATATTACTTCCTCCGCCCCCCTTACTTTGTCCCATTTTACCTTTTTCGTCCGTCCCAATAAGTTTGTCTCATACCATATTTGGTAATATTTGAGTGGTTAGAATTCATTCTTACTTTATTCACACTTTATCAAATCAATATCAACCACACAATTCTACTTTTTCTTAAAAACCACACCACATTCCTTTGTCCCAAACTTAGGGGGACAGAGGTAGTATGAAATAAAAGTTAATTACAAAAATATGACTAAAGTTACCATGAGTATAATGTCATGGTCACTTGATTGTAAAAGTTCAACATAAGTTATTACTATAGTCACTAGTCACTACACTTTAAAGACGACATTTTTGTAAACCACCTTTATTTTAATTATAAATATGTAAATTTTCTAATTATTATTCCTTTCAGCAAGGCAATAGAGAGAGCTAATAAGAACAAGGCCATAATAGAATCTATTGGAGTGCCAATTGTTAGAGGACCATGGTATAATGCATCGCTGGGGAAGTCGCACCAAAGGCATTCTGTATCCTGCTCATTTCCCGTTTCAGGTCCACAAGGCTCTGGGATCATTCAGTTAAAGGCAATTAATAATGGAGGTAATTGGCATTTCATATATTTTTTCCTTTCTTTCTGAAGTAGGTTTATCCCTCCTCCATACGTTGAGTTTAACATTTATCCACGTATAACCATAGAATTGAAATCCAATATAGATATAAGGCTCTGTATACTACATGTTTATTTCCGGTGTAGTTATAAGTTACTCAGATGTTTAACTGTCGGTTATTAGCCTAAACAAACCAAACTAAACATATTCAATATGTCTGACTAGGATTAGGATAGGGTGAGTTGGGACCTCATCTCTATTGAGAGGAATGGAGAGGCTCTTTCTGTAAATTTTGAGAAATATTGGAAACAAGTTATTAACTTGAAACTTTTTGAACTATTTTTATTTTATTTTTTTTGAAGTAAAATGTTTTGCCATCAAAGCAGGGCAAACTTATGAGTAGGGCACCCCATACACTCGCATTTACTCTAAGTTTATGGCCTAGGAGGTCATAATACGTGAAGTAGACATGTCTTGAGAGATGTTTTTTCAATCAAGGTCGGACACTCCAAAAGGATGACACCCCATCGGACCAGACAATTTTTATTACAGATGAGTGGAGAGAGTGAGGTTTCAACCCAGATCTTTGCTTGGAGTTGAACCCGGGAAGGTCGTACGCTTCAGTGTTAAGTAACACTGTTACTATTGTTGGATTCTAGACTGGAAATGGTGAAACTGAGATTATTTTTTGGCATGTGGAATCCGTTGTTGTTTGAGATATTGCACATGCTGGTTTTGGATCACTTATTTCGTTTGTGCTTCATGTTTGACATTTTTTTATTTGATGTGTTGTAGAGGATACTTGGATTTCATTTTTTCGGCCCCGTGCTTGGGAAATCCTCATTATGGAAGCTCTTGTTCACGTACCTGGAAATCAAGAGAAGCAACAAACATTTCGAATAACTGTTTCAGATGATGTGCCCCCTCCAACTGCCTGTGTGACATGCCCTGACTTTAGGTCAAAAAAATCTGAAAGTGTGTAGAAGAACTGAATTTAGTACGTAGTATATATTTCTTGGATTTTACATTCTAGTCATTTCACCTTCACAAGAATAAAGTTTTTTATTCTTGGGAGTGCCTTTGTGTTTTGTGAAGGCTCATCATATAGCAGTCCTATGAGCTACATGCTTGTTATTCAGAATTCGGTTGAACAGATAATTGGATATTACTTGTACTCATCATTTGGAGTAAAAATTAATGATGAAACCCATACTGTTCTTCAAAAATTAGGTTTGCTATTGTTATGCATGCTTCAAAAATTAGGTTTAAAATTTTAGACTTCTAGGAATAAATACTTCATTTGTGTGAATTAATACTTCATTTTATCTATGAATAAAAATCAGTAAATGTTCTCTAGCATGTACCCTATCGTCTATCGATGAGTGGTTTGTAGTCATGGACTCAACCGGTTCCGGGCCCGGCCAGGCCAAAAAAAATATGTTAGGCCTGGAGGCTGGGACCGGCCTGGAAGTAGACCGGTGCCGGTCCGAGCCGGGTCGGGTCTAGTTATAATTTTTTTTTGTTTTCTTGATTATTTTTGTCCCCTACCCCCCAATTCCACAAACCCATTTGAAAGACCCATTCCAGCCCATTTAAACCCAGCCCAAAGCCCCAAACTAACAAAAAACAAAAAAAAAATCCGGGTGGCATTTTCTGATTTACCTGAACTCGTAGCCGACCAAATTACCCATCCCAAATTGGGCTTAGACCCGGAACCGGTACCCGGTTCCCGGGCCGGGCCCGCAAAGTACCGGGCCGGTTCCTGGGCCGGGTGGTCCGAACCGGGTCCAAGCATAGTGGTTTGCCTATTAGGTTTAAAATGAGATTTTTTGCTTAATTTTAAACATCTTCAAGCCAAAAATGGAAAGCTGAGATGAAGGTGTTTGGCTAAAGGGTCAAATAGGTACATGAACTAACTTAAAGTGTTCAATTAGCCCCTTATATAGGAGGTTCTGCTCGGCTGTCGCCAATCGGGGAAGTTACCAGTTGAATTTTTTGATGAAATTTTTTTAGCATCTTCTTCATTAAGTCTAGTTTACCCATACCAAATTTCAGCTAAAAATTAAATCGCGAAGGCAGTCAAATGATTTTCCGAAATGTACTGTGCTGTTTAACTGCGCAGTTATCTTCAAAAAATCATTTGAATGCCTTCACGGTTGAATTTTTAGCTGAAATTTGGTATGAGTAAACTAGACTTAATGAAGAAGATGCTCAAAACATTTCATAAAAAAATTCCACCGGGAACCGCCCCAATTGGCGACGGCCGGGCAGAACCTCCTATATAAGGGGCTAATTGAACACTTTAAGTTAATTCATGTACCTATTTGACCCTTTAGCCAAGGTGCTTTTACTGGCTTCTCTGGTTTTCTTGTAAATAATTAAAACTTTTAGGGTAATCTTCTTTTTGAAGTATAATCTTATTCTCCCTATTGTATTCCATTTCTCGTATTCCTTCAATACTGCCCAAACATAGTATGTAGTACTGTTTTTTTTAAACGAACATTGTAGTACTATTATGCATTTGATCTATAATCATATTTTTTTATGTAGAAGCAGATGTGTAGAAGCAATCATAAACACTGCATAAATGTGAATAGGTTTTGCAAATATTTTAAAGGTGAATAATTGTTACAAATTAAACTAAAAAACATCAAACACCTTATAGTTGAATGACATTATTGTGATACTTTTTTTAGGGACATTATTGTGATACTTCCAAGCAAGAGGTTATAGGGTTGGAACTCATCTCAATTCAAAAATGTTGATACTTAACAAAATGAGCAAATACTATAATAATTTTGTGAGCACAACAAAAACAAAACTAAAAAATGATTGAATGAGTAACAGACGAAGATCGATATTAGGAATATTTATTTAAGGAGAGACATAACATGCTATATTGCTACTCTTTAGCTTTTATTATTTATTTATTTATTTATTTACTTATTTATTTATTTATTTATTTATTTATTTATTTATTTATTTATTTATTTATTTATTTATTTATTTATTTATTTATTTATATTTTACTTGTGTTATGATCATGCTTGTTTGTTATGAAATCAACTTTTTAATCATTTATTTCTACATGTTAGCTGATCCAAATTCTTTTGAGAACAAGATTTGGATGTTGCATGTTTTGAATGCATTGTTTCACATTTCACAACTAAGGAATACGTACAAACTCTATTTTACTACTACCTCCGTTCTTTTTCATTAGTCCTTCTTTCCTTTTTGGGACGTTTTTTTTATTTGTCCTCCTTTCCATTTAAGGAAAGTTTTTACTCTCAATATACTTTTATACCCCAACTTTTATTACCATTACCCCTTTCTCTTTCCTACTTTTTCATTTACCCACTACTCATTACACCTTTTACATTAGCCCTACTATTTTCCTCTTAAAACCCGTGTCAAAGTCTAGGAGGACTAATATTAAAGAACGGAGGGAATAGCATATACGTAGTATATACAACAAACACAATATTATTCAATAATTTATTTAACTAAATTTGTGATTGAGTTTTAAGCTTAAATTTAATGTACATAATTATACTTTATGAAAAATATGCTCACAAAATTTTATGAAAGTATAATCAAAAGAAGCTACATACGGAGTAGTACTTATACAACGCGATCAATGACCCACCCATAAGGCTACATATTGCTTTTATGCATTTACACATTTATTGCCCATAATAATGTAGCTATATTGATCTTGTCTTTTATGCATGTATGTTGCAATTTGTTACATTATTAATTATATGTTTTTACTGGTTATTAGTAGTAATTAACTTTTATTTTTATGTAACTTATTTTTTTTTTGTAACTTAAATTTTTTATGTTGATAAAACAAATTAATATTCATCTCAGTTATATCACATAAGACATATGTATTCATAAACTTTTTTCAAACTAGTCACAAACAATGTAAATTAAGAATAGATACACACTTTTATCTCTCTCGCATACTCATATAATTCAAGACATGAGTTTATTATTATTTCCTTTATTTGTTCAAGTATGCTGGCATTTTTATGTAATATGTTTGATCCCTCGAACTTTTATATCAATTTTAAATCAAAATGACAAATTTTTAGTAAAAACAAACGAAAAAAAAAAAAAGAAACCGAACCGAAACAAACCGAACCAATCAAACTGTGGTTCCAAGTTTGGAGTGTAAAACCGAACCGTAACCGAACCGAACTTTTACTTTGGTTTCGTATTTGGTTTTAGGTCAAAACCGAACCGAAAGAACCGAACCCACCCCTACATTAAGCTAGTTAGTGAGCCATAACTCTCACGAGAATAGACAAAGACTCAAAACACGAGTTCAGGGTCGTTTTTAGCATGTTAATTAGATTAAATAGAAAATACCCCATTTCCCACGGGCCCCATATGTATAAGGCGCCAGTAGTATTACTTTTAGGTCACTAACATAAATTAACTAAATTCTAATATAACATTAATAATACTATCATTCGTTCTTTAATTCTTGCAACAGTTTGACTTTCACGTTTTCCAATGCACAACTTTGATTGTAATTTTATTCTAATTATGTATTCGTAAACAATATAAGAAGTTGATATTTTGGAAATTCACATTGATAGGAATTCAATAACATTTTATACGAAATAATTCGATTATGTATATTAGTATAAAATCGTGGTCAAAATAAGGTATGTGATTAGTGCAAAAATCACAACGTTGCACGAATTAAAGAACGGAGGTAGTATGTGTTACAGCTAAATTTATATTCAACTACATATTATTATGCTTTCATAAATTGAAACACTTTACAAAAAATGTAGAGTTTATTTTTTTGAATGAGGGAAAATTACTACATGTACTTATTTAATTGTATAATTTAATGAGTATTCAATTGATTTAAGTATAATAAGAATTTAGATCAAGAATATTTTTTTGTTTTTCATATTAAAGCGGGGCCTTCAAATTCATTAGGCAATTACACACACCAATCCCAAAGCAGAGGCCGTCAAGATATAATTAAATACATGCTAGCATATGTAGAGGAAAGCTGCAACTGTCGAAGTTACATGGCTACCGAAAAATGGAATTTTAAAGAAGCACAAATGCCAAACGAGCTCACACTAAAATCGAACTTTCATAAATATTAGGCAAAATGGAAACTAATAATCCAACATTTTAGCGGTCTTCTTACAATAATCCAACCTTTTGCTTATTCATGAATAATCCAACCTTTGCACCTTATCTTCATTCACTGGTCCCTGACCGGTTGATGACCTGCTATTTCAAGCTATTTTCTTATCTTTGCAAATTATTATACCATAAATCTCATCTTTCACAAATATAATATTTTGCAAAGATAAGAAAATAATTTGGAATAGTAGGTCATTAACCGACCAGAGACCAATGAATGAGGATGAGGTGCAAATGTTGGATTATTCATGAATAATCAAAAGGTGAGATTATTAAAAGAAGGCCGCTAAAAGGTTGGATTATTAGTTTCCATTTTCCCTAAATATTAAGGTAGTTTCTATGGTACACATAAGATACCATACCTTTGTCCACATGGACCAATGAAAAGGTAGTAGTTGAATTATTTAAATCTAAATTAAAATTGATAAAGTGATGTGGTCCAATCAAATGAATGTTAGGTAAGGTACCCTTTCTTACTAAAGAGAATAGCGTGCCTCAATTAATGAAACACAGTCAAAGGCCGAGTAACACAAAACAACAAATTCTAATATCTGGATACGAACATAGTCAACAAAGGTGATTCTCAAAGTCTATGTACCAAAACTTAGAGTAAGCTTTAACAGAAATCATTATAAAAAATAATTCCTTAAAGAAAATTACACAAAAGAGAGAAATGAAAGGAAAAAACCATACATGAATAATAATGTGAGAGAAAAAATATTGGGAGAGAATTCTCCCTTTATCTATGTAGGATTCTACTTTTATGTATGTATGATTTGATTTTATCTAATTTTATTTGGAGTATTTCTTAAAATATGATTTCATTTTAAAACATCTAATCGTTTTGAAAAGTTAAAACTAAACATCTGGATTTTAAGGTTTGTTGATGAAATCAATACGTCAAATCAAGAAATTCACATATATTTTGATTTTAACTTGCCTTTCGAAATGATATTTTAACTTTAAATTTTTCTTCAATTCGACGTTCCGTATTTCCATTGAAAACTTGAGTGCATATCCAACATAACATGTCAATTCTTCAATTCCC